TGGTCTCCCGTACTTTTGGGACCAAACATTCTTATTACCGATCATTAGTGTTCATACCAGTGTGGTCCGTGGAATGAGTGCATACCCAGTGATTCAGTTATCTGTTAACATATTTCAGCTTTTTCTGTGACTGCTTTTATCTCTTGCATGTGAAGTTCATATTAGAGCAACATTACATAGCTTCTTTGTGCAGAACATTTTCAGCTACCCCGTCCCTAAATTGGCTTGGATATACACACACACACTCACACAAAAACCAATCACTATCTTCCACACGTCCAAGAACTCGTGACAAGGTTCATGAATTTATGGGCAGCGAAATAATAAGCCACCCAAGTTGTTTGTACTGGTCCCAAATCCTGCATCGGCTAGCTCATTTAATGCTCTTAGCGACAATCATAGAGAGGGATACAAAGGCAAAAAGCGTGAAGAGCTTGTGATGTGAATTCATGAATAATCACTATAGGTGCTTGATTTATAGACCTAGAGGCCATATTTGTCATTTTCTGGGCTTGGCCTGATATTCTTTCTCAAGGGAATACGAGTTCAGAAAAGGATCAAAGCCTTAAATCACCCAAAACTGATCTGAAAACTCTACGAAGACCATCCAACTAACAAAGCGCTGGCGATAAGAGAACACAGGGCCCAAATAGTTCAGATAAGCGATAACAGAATGAAACCCAACAAAGCAGGAAGCTTACTAGCCTGGAACAGCCTCCATGCAACAAGGCTCAATTGACCCAAGATCACCCCGTCCAGTGTTCAAGAGCCAAGAGGCCTTTAGTGACTCTTGTTTATTGCCGATTGATCCCTTTGCTTTCTTGTAATGATGAAGGAAATTAGCACCGTCTGCCTCTGGTTTTTTTTTTTTTCTCAAAATTTCTTTTATTTGGATCGCTATGTGAGTTATCGTAAATAATTGAACTGGAATCTTTTACGGGATAATTGAGAAGCATCAAATAATTTTAAGAGTTCTTTACTTGATGTTTCTCGATTTTCCCCATCACAATGCACTAACATTTACATTCATATGTTAGGAAATTAAATATGGTTAAGCATATAAGCGTACTAGAAATTAATAGGATATCTAACTTCTTTCATGATTGATTAAGTGCTCAAATATTGCTAAAGAAAATCTAAAGCTTTCCGGTCTATACAAATACTTTATGGTTTTATATGTTAATATAAAACATAGACTTTATTTAATATTTATATAACTAGACTAAGGATCCTTTTTTTGACCTAATTTTATACCTCTATCTATTATGGATGTGCCTAGCCTAACCACAATTAGAGTTCATTAGGCTTTAAGTCTTTAAATTGTCACTTATAGATTTAAAATAGAACATGACATATGAGCCACACTACTTAAAACTCGACAATTTCTTTATAGAGTCCAAAATGACTAGTTAGTGGAAACATTCACATTTAGATTAAGAATACAATATATGAATTATAGCACGTATGCTTTATAACTAAGCACTTCCTTCCATATATTACAATTTATTAAATCCTTTAAACAAGCACTTAATGAGCAAATAAACTTTATGAATAAACTTCTAATAAGTAATTAAAATGAATATAAAAATAATACTTTATATGCACAAAAATCACATCAATCTCTAAGAACAACTTAAAAATGTCTAGACAATCAATAAAAAGAAAATGAAGTCAAACAAAAAATGGGTTAGATAGATCCATATGATCCATATGATCTCTATACTCGTTTTGGCGACGAGTGCTTTAGTCATAGGATCTCGCAATTATTAGCTCGGTGCTAATATGCTCAATGAGCACTTCATGTTCCTTCACTTTCTCTTACCCAATGAGATACTTTATGTCGATATGCTTATTTTGGCTTCCACTTTTATAATTCTTAGAGAAGAAAACTACAATCGAATTGTCACAATAAATCTTTATTATTCTTGATATAGAATCGATAATTTTTAGACTAGAAATGAAGTTTCTTAACTAGATAGCCCATGTCATTGCTTCATAGCATACAATGAATTCTCGCTTTTATAATAGACGAAGCGACAATAGTTTGCTTAGTGCTTCTCTAAGACACAATTCCTTCAACAAAAGGAAAAATGTATCCGAAGTAAACTTTTTTATGCCTACATAACCAACGAAAATCCAAATCGAATAACTAACCATCTTAAGATGATTAGTATGTCCGTAAATTAGTCTTTAATCCTTGATTCCTTATATATACCTTATGGCTTTCTTAGAAGCTTTCCAATGTTCTATTTTAGGATTACATTGGACTCTTCCTAGCATTCCTACCGCAAATGCCAAATTAGGTCTTGTACAAACTCGTGCATACACCAAACCGCCTACTCGTAAATGCATAAGGATCGTTACTCATCCGGTCTTTTTTCAATGCATTTTGTGGATAATGATTTAGATTGAATTTATCTCTTTTGACAATGGGTGCTACCGAAGATGCATAATTTGACATCCCGAATCTTTCTAAAACTTTTCAAAGTAGACCTTTAATAAAGTTCTAATATTCTTTGAGATTTGTCTCTATGAATCTCTATGACAATGACATAAGAGGTTTCACCTAAATCCTTCATATCAAAGTTTTGAGAAAGAAATTGCTTAGTCTCATGAAGCAAACCCAAGTCATTACATGCAAGCAAAATATCATCTATATATAGGATAAGAAAAATGTATCTACTCCCACTAACTTTAAGGTATATACATTGATCAACAATGTTCTTAATAAAACTATATGAGGTAATAACATTGTGAAACTTAATATACCACTATCAAGAGGCTTGCTTTAGCCTATATATAGATCTCTTTAGCTTACAAACCAAGTGGCTTTTGTATCACCATAAAAACTTTCAAATTGATTCACGTATACTTCTTCATCAAAATTTCCATTTAAAAATGATGTTTTCGCACTCATCTAATGTAGCTCCAAATCCAAATGAGCTATTAATGCCATTATTGTACTTAATGAATCCTTTTTAGATATCGGAGAAAAAGTCTCATGGTAGTCTATGCCTTCCTTCGGGATATAACCGTTAGCCCTAATTCTAGCTTTATATCATTCGATATTACTAGAAGAATGCCTTTTGGTTTTATAAGCCCATTTGTAGCCAACGACTACGGATCCTTTTGGTAATTTGATGAGATCTCAAACTTGATTTTTATCCATAGACTCCATTTCTTCCTTCATGGCATTATACCATAAATTGAAGTTTTCTCTATTCGTGGCTTGTGAAGACAAGTTTGGATCATTTTTAAGTCCAACATCAAAGTCGGACTCTTGAAGGTATACAACATAGTAATTAGAAATTGTTGGTCTCCTTACACTTGAAGATCTTCTCAATTCAACATCCTCATGTGGGTTTACCTCATCAAAAGCTAGTTGCTCTTGAACTTGTTACTCATGAATTATTTATTGTTCAATATTATCTAATTTATTTTTTTGAACAATAACCAATTACCTTGTATCTTTATACAACATAATTGAATCTAGTGTTTTCTTAAATTCTATTATTAAAGGAAAATCACTCCCGCTAAGGTTAAGATTCTTAAGAAATTAAGCATTTCTTATCTCTACTATTCTTGTATTGTGAGAAGGACAACTAACTTCGTATCCTTTAGAGTTTACTTGCATAACCAATGAAATATTCACTTGGTTATTCTAGGGTCTAATTTCTTTAATTAATGATTATAAATCCTTACCTCAACGAGACGAGTCTCATACATGTGTATGATTTAAACTAGGTTTTCATCCATTTCATAATTCCAAAGGTGTTTTAGAGACAACCTTAGATAGAACCCTATTTAGAATATACACAACAACTTTTAATGCTTCACTCCATAAGGATATTGTTAAATGAGAATTACTAATCATGCTCCTCACCATGTCTATGAGAGTACGAGTTTTTTTTTTTTTTTAGCTACGCCATTTTGTTGTGGTGTGCCAAGCATTGTATACTATACAATAATGCCCTCTCCTTTAAGAAACTTTGTAAATAGACCTGGCATTTATCCTTTTTCGGTGTATCTATCATAATACTCTCTACCTCTATCCGACCTCATAATCTTGATAGTCATTTCCTTTTGTTGCTCTACCTCAACCTTAAAGGTCTTAAAAACATTAAGTGCTTTAGCCTTATCATATAAAAGATAAAGATACATAAATCTAAAATGACATCAATGAATGAGATAAATTATCTCCGACCATTTAGGTAAGGAGTATTAAACGATCCACATATGTTAATATATATGATTTCTAAAATTTTTGAGCTCGTTGTGACACCTTTAGTGGTCCTGTTAGTTTATTTTCCTTTAATTCAATCCACACAAGTACCAAGAACTCTTGTGCCATAAAAAATAGTTTCATCCAGAACACCATTCAAGAAATGCATTATGAACATTTCGTTGCCATACACACCAATTACGTGTCACTGCTAGGGAAAGAACACAACGTGATTTCACGACAGGACTAAAAAGTTTCATTGTAATTTGTACCCTTTTGTTGATGAAATCTCTTTGCAACTAGTCTAGTTTTGTACGTTTCCAAACTCCCCTCACCCTTTGTATTTGTCCGATACACCTATTTGCAACCTATGATATTTAAGTTCGGAGTAGGAGGAACCAAAGGCCACGTACCATTTTTCAGTAAGGCATTAAATTCATTATCCATTGCCTTGCGTCACTCTGGATATTGTTTTGCCCGAGAGTAACAAGTATAGGTTCAGAAGGTACCACAGAGATAATAGTAGCTGAAGGTCCTATAGAGCGTAGAAGCATATGAGGTGTCTGGAGTGGAGTAGAACTAGTGGTTGTAGAAGGTCATAACTGCTCAAGTTAATGATAAGATTTAATCCCATTTTAAGTTCGGTATTGTCATGATTTGAATGAGGAATTTTATTGGGGGGGGGGGGGCGGGGGGGTTGTGGGGAGATGCACAGGAAGACGACTCAAGGTTTTGGATGAATATGGACTCTGGGACAGAGGAGTGTCAGAAGAGATGATTACGAGACTGTTGGTGGGAGACAATGGGGACGATGTGGACGATATGGGATTTGGAATACGAGGCAGAAGAGTTGTGGAAGAGTTGGTTTTATAAGGTGCAGGACTGTTGGAGGAAGAGGACAGATTAGACATGGATTGTGTTTGAGTGTCCACTGGCGTAAAAAGAGGAAGTCTTTATGACGAGGATGGACTGTATAACAAGTCTGGATGAGAGGGGACTGAATTGCTTGCGCGTACTGGAGTAGATCTGATATTTTGCAACGAAGAATTGCAGCAGAATTGTGTTTGCATATGTGTTGCACGGGGATTGGGCTGTATTTGTAGGGGAAGAACGTTAGCACAAAGTTTCTAGGCTAGACAGTCAGGGCTCGTGTGGTTGAATAGCTGCATGATTTGTGGGTTTGAAGACAACATTGTTGGGTCGGACAGTATGAGCTCGGGTGGTGTAGTAGATGCATGATGTGTGGGCTTTAATGGCAATATGGTTGGGTTGAACAGTGGCGGCCCTTGAGGTGGAATGACTGCATGATTTGTGGGCCTTGGAGGCAACTTTGTTGGGCTGAAAATTTTGTAGAATTTGCTGCATTGTTATTGGGCTGTGATGGACGAAGTGAAGGACCTTTCTTGTTGGGCTGGACGGTCATAATCCTCATGGTGAAGAAGGTTCTGCAATATGGGCAGTATTTAAAAGTGGATACTGTGTAAAAAATGAAAAAATGGACTAAAAAAATTAGGGGCATTATAGTATTTTTCAGATTTGGGTTCAAAGCATTGATAACCAAAGTGAATACGATGTAACCTGAAAATATAGATGAGAGTGATCTAAATTCCATTTTATGTTTATTGTATATGGACGAACGTATGGAAAGCAAAGACAACAAATTTTTTTAAAAAAGGATTAGTCCGGATTTCAACGAAATAAGAATTCATACGAGGATTTGTTTGAAGAATAAGAGTAGGTATGCAATTTATTAAGAAAACAAATGTTTCAAAAGCAAAGTGCAAAAAACATTGTGGTATGGATGCTTCTTCTATTAGAGTCAGACGCGTTTCTACTTTTATGGCCATGATGTCTTTCAACTGTGTTATTTTACTCATGAGTATGTGGACACATGAGACAGTGAGTAATCCATTTGCACTAATTTTATTTTTCTATTAAATTAAAGTTCTACTAATTTTTGAAATTTTAGAAAGGTATTATAAACATCAGATTTTTTTTTTTTTATAAATAGAATAAAACCTTACAAATTTGAAGAAATAATCAATAAAAATAACATAGTATCTGTGACTATTATTTGAAATAGTTGATGACAGTCCTCATATATTACTAAAAAATAAATCTAATACACCACTACTAGAATGATTAGAAGAATACAAATGAAATCTATGAGATTTTCCTAAAGGGCAAGAAACATTCATTTTTAGTCTACAATTGCTTAATAAAGCATTATTATTTTTTTAGTAGAAAATTCAGGACTCGACTGTAAGGACGTCCCAACCTTAAGTGCCAAATATGTGGCGATGTTTGGACAGAAAGGACTTGAGGAACAGAAGTCTTAATCCCATATAAAACATACAAATTAACATCACTCAAGGGTCATTTTGATGTATCTGGTCCTTTAAGGAAAAAAAAAAAACAAATTGAAATTCCCAAAATAATGCATTATCTTGAGCAAGCTTTTTAACAAATAACAGGAGTTTTGAATTTTGTGGAACATGTATAACATCCAACATACGTAAGGTTTTAGTAGGAGTATGAACATGAGCAGTCCCAATTAATATCATGTATAGGAAGAAACTCACAATTATTTGTTTGGAGTTGCTCATGGCCTTATTAAGGTTCAGAATGACTCATAGTGGAGAGATCATAAGCAACAAGGTGAGAGGCACAATATCAGGACACCAAGACTGGTGAATAATCTGAAGAGGCAATAGGATACACTGTCAAGTTTGCAAATATCATTGAGAACAATTAATTGCTCTGTGATTCAAGAATTACACAGTTGACGTTCACGTCTTGTGATCTAGTGGGGACCAATTTTTTTTTTTTTTGCCATCAGAGTTGAAATTTCTTTCATAACCCTTGCCATGCTAACGCCCTTTCTGATTTCTGCCTCTGCAACAATCAAAATAGGCAGACCTATTAACAGCATTGTTCTTGCTCTGTTAGTTGAAATTTGATGCGGGTGAAACAGGAGCTACGCCACTGGTTAAATGAGGAGGAGGTAATATGGGCAGATAATCTTTATATAGGAACTCATGATTGAGCAATAGACTATGGAGCTCAATGTAGGATACTGATTCAGGCCTGACATTTAATGTGGTGATAAGATCTTTAAAATCTACAGATATCCTCGAAAGACATATAGATTAAAATCTATAGGAAAAAGTGGTTTTCCAACAGCAGTTAATTCGTCACTGAGATTTAGGTCTTTGAAGATATTGAAACATATTGTTTCAATATCCTCTTGTTTAAGCTTTTGAAAAGCTAGATGCAATGTCATTATCTGGGTAGTAGAAGGAGAGGCAAACCCATCTATTTTCTATGACATTCCATACTTCACAGGAAGTATTACAATAAATGACCATCGATAATATTTCAATAGACAAAGAGGAGATGAAAGTACTTATCAGCAGTTAAGTCTTGTTAAGCCCAACTGTGATACTCTGTGGATTTACTTGCGGAAGTCCATTTTCTAGAGATAATAAATGAGAGGGAGAACATTGATTGATGCCATCAATAAAGATAAAAAGACATTGGCCAATTAAAAAAGGATGCATTTGAGAGCGCTAAAACAATTAATTTGAGGAAGTCAATTTAAGGGAAATAAAGTGATGAGCATTGAAAAATTGGGTGACATTAGTAGCTGTAAGTTAAGAAAACAGATAGTGTTTAGGGAGGGCAGAGGTGTGTTTGCAGCAGAAGACGTTGAACTAGTTGAAGATAAAAGATGTTGTGTCGCAAAAAGCTCGATCTGATACCAAACTAAATTATTATGAATATGTGTTATGAAGAAAAATATTTTTTGTCTACTCACCTGACGTGAGACTCTCTACTTGTATTTTATATACGTTTGTTTGTTATGTGTGACAGGTGATACAATAATAGTATAAGATAACAAGTATAGTTCGTTATGGATACATGTTCTAAATGATGTAAAGCAATACAGACTTAAACTCTATCTTTAACTCTCTGTTGAGTCTCTAAATGAGTAGAGTACATAGACGTTGTCATTCATTTGTGCAGATTATCACTTCAATATTTAATAGGAGGAAAGAGAGAGAGAGTATAAAATTAAAGCTAGAAAAGGAAAAAAAAACCTTTCTTGCTAAATTCTATATCATCATTCCATTACTTGTTTACTATAAATAAAAAATCTCTCCATTACATTTTAAATGGTTGGCTTGATTTCAATTTGCTGAGAGGACCCAATAATAAATTATTATCATCAATATCTTTCTATTCACTGACCCCACCTAAAGTTCAAATTAATTAGATTGCACTACTATTTTGGTTAAGCCTAACTAATCTTCACGTAGATCTTCATCAAACAGGCTCAGATAGTTAATTAATTTGAGAAATTTATAGGTTGACCATTCTATTAGTTAACTGGTTTAAATTATTTTAAAAACCACCGTCACTTATTCACTCCTACTAGGAAAATGCATGCATAGGATAGAACTTACCATTCTAATACAAAACATAAAAATCAACAAAAAAATACAAAATGAAGAAGAAGAAACTATACCAGAAGGAACAATCAGGGAACACAATGTCCTTGGTCTACTTGTCACCACAGTAACGAAACAACAGTGGTGGGCCTGTCTTGTTCAGTCCTCGATAATCACATGATCGGATGACTGGCCGGTCAGCACAGTCAAAAATTAGCTCCAACTCTGGTAACTTACCTGGATACTTCCTCAGAAGTTGCAAAATGCCGATATAGTGACCATGTCGCTTGTTTGTATAGACTGTTCGTACTTCTCAATGGATGCTTTTCTCTTGACAATTACTAGATGGAAATGTGTTGTTGTTTTGGCTCTCTCCACTATGTACCTTGTGATTCTTGTGGCATTCCATGCTCTTTCTTCATGGATCCGTCCAAAATAGTTTGGACATTCTAGTTAATAGTTTGGAAATTCTAGTTTTGATGATGTGTCTTCTTGATCTTCTATTTGGACTGTTTCACTACAAAAAATCCACAAATAACAACTGAATTTTCTATCGCTATATGTCAAAAATTCATTGCTATAAATAATTAACGACGGATTAGAGACAATAAGGATTTCGTCACAAATATGGTGGTTGTTATTTCCTTAGCGATTGAATTTATTTTCGTTGCTAATTTGTTAAATTTTTGTCGCTAAATTGAGTTAAAACAATCGTATGTGAGGTCTTATATTCGTCATCATTCCATTGCTATTTTCACTAACATCCATCTCTAAAAAGCGACAGAACTAGTGTCACTAAATTATAGTTACTAAGTTCCTCATAATTCCATTGCTAAATCCGTAGCTATTTAACTACCATATATGTCTCCATCACTAAATATCTTTGTAATTTCGTCATTAAATCCGTTGCTAAAGGAAGGATTTTTTTTAAAAAAATCAATACCTATATATTGTTAATTGTAATAACAAATAACTATAAACAATATCTTATTAAAACATGATATATTATTTAATAAAATTAAAATAAAATAAATACATTAAAATTTACAAAAATATTAAAAACTTTAAAAAACTCTATCACTCGTCTACAATTGACTTTGTATAAAGCTAACTTGACTTGCATGTTGCTGGATAGTAGCCTCCATCTCGTTGATTTTATCTTCGTAATGGACAAAAACCTCCGACTGGATATTACCTCTAGGATACTACAAAGTGGAAAAGGAGGAGTCTGGTGCTAGAATGTGAGTAACACAAGGACGCATAAGTTTTGTTGTTATATCCTTTTTGCTTCTTCTCTTATGTGACAACATCCACATATATCTTAGACATGTCAATATCTAGAGATGATGCATCACATTCTTACTCGCTCCTTAGTAGCTGCTTCTTGCATTGACTACACGTGCTTCTATATCATTGAAATAATTACAATATTACATTATACATATATTTTTTTAGATTATATCGATAGATGTATATATATTTAAAAAATATAAAACCTACCATTAATATTTGCGGCCACTTATCGACAAATGTCTCATCTTTCTACTTGTGAGTGGTCATGAATAGCTTGTAAAAATTTGAGTTATGACCCAATTTATTATGCTAAAACAAATAAGAAAAATAATATAAGATGAAATAAATGAAAAATTAATTTATAACACAATGCATAATATAGGATTTACCAAATGCTCAACATGCTCAATCAAAGAGATGGACCCTTTAGTATGCTTGAATGGGCTAGAACCAATACCATCCGTCTTCGACATGCTCGTCTTCGAGATGCATGCCGAAATCGAGCCCGATACTCAAGAGTGGCCTAATCCTAACATCATGCTTCCCACACCTCCCGTTTAATAAACACATGTTTGTTACTCTTATACTTCGACTTGTTAAGCATGTCACTATACTACTTTGGTGTTAGACTCTCCCATGCATCCTTAATTAGTGCATCGATGGTCGCATCTTATCAAAAGTACTTTTA